GACATACTATACATTTTACTTGGCTGCTCCTACTGTAAGTAGATACAAAAGCAAGTGAATGTTTGTTTGCTCACTGCTATATCCCCACAGTGCCTAGAATATAAAAGGTACTTAGCTGGGTGTGGTGAGGAGTACCTGATTCTCAGGAGGCTGAGACAAGAGGATAGCTTAAACCCAGAGGTCAGAGGCAAACCCGGAAACATAGTGAGACCCCAATTTAAAAAAAAAGAAAGAGGGCACTCAAATAGTACTTGACTGATATGCAAAACAACACAATCAAGGATGCATAAGAAACGTAAAAACAATTGATGCATTAGGGTAGTAGATAAATTTTTTTTTTACAAATATCAACAGGTAAAAAATTAGCATTTAGGGCTGGGGATGTGGCTCAAGCGGTAGCGCACTCGCCTAGCATGCGTGCGGCCCGGGTTCAATCCTCAGCACCACATACCAACAAAGATGTTGTGTCCGCCGAGAACTAAAAAATAAATATTAAAAAATTCTCTCTCTCTCTCTCTCTCTCTCTCTCTCTCTCTCCTCTCTCACTCTCTCTTTAAAAAAAAAAAAAAAATTAGCATTTAGTGCCCGGTATGCTGGTGCACACCTGTAATCCCAGCTGCTCAGGAGGTTGAGACAGGAGGATCACCAATTCAAAGCCAGCCTCAGCAACGGCGAGTTGCTAAGCAATGCAGTGAGACCCTGTCTCTAAATAAAATACAAAAATAGGGCTGGGGATGTGGCTCAGTGGCCGAGTACCCCTGAGTTCAATCCCTAGTACAAAAAAAAAAAAAAAAAAGCATTTGAAACAATTGTTTGCATTGCTTTAAAGTGCCCAGTATAGTATTTAAAATCTATTAGGTTCAGCCAGGTATGGTGGCTTATATCTATAATACAACTCTGTAATCCTAGCAACTTGGGAGGCTGAGGCAGGAGGATTGCAAATTCAAGGCCAGACTCAGTAATTTAGAGAGACCTTGTCTCAAAAAGAAAAAAAAAATCTATTAGTTAAGAGTTAACTTTCTATAAAACCTCTGATTTAGATGTCCACCTCATGTACTCTTGAAGTTATCTCAATAAAAGTAGGGAAAAAAACCTCTAATATAAGTATTCAACAGTCATATTTCCTGAGTTAAGCAAGCTCACAGTTGTTATAAATTAAGCTAATTTGTTTCATGAGCACATTTTATCAATCTACAATCATAAAAAAAACTATGTTACATTTTTATAGACCTGAACTGTCCAACATGATAACTACTGGCTACATATAGTTACTGCAGTTAATTAAATAAGATATAAATCCATTTGTCAGTTGTTCTAACCACATTTCAAATGCTTAGGGCCATGAGTAGCTAGAAGTTACCACCCTGGACCTCATAAATACAGAACACCACAGAGAATTCTATAGGGTAGAACTGCTATAAAATTTTTCTAAAACTTCACTTTAATGCATAAAACTGATTTAGCTGAGATATTGGCAGAACACAACCTTGTAATTTCCAGTTCTATAGTCTATATCTATGGTTCTCAAAACACGATCCCAGTACCAACCCCACTTAGGAATTTTTTAGAAATATCAACTCTCAAGCCCTAGCAATCTATTTTACCAAGCTCCCCAGGTGATCCTGGAGAATTCTAAATCATGTTCAAGTTTTAGAGTCATTGTTCTAACAGAAAATAAGCCATTGGATGACAAGAAATCTACTGCTGTAGACTATAAATGATCTATCAACTATGAAATCAGACACAATCATATCCCTATGAGGCCTTCTTTTTGGGGGGAGGAGTGCCAGAGACTGAATTCAGGGGCACTAGACCATTCAGCCACATCCCCAGTCCTATTTTGCATTTTAATTAGTCAGGGTCTCACTGAGTTGCTTAGTGCTTGCTTTTGCTAAGACTGGCTTTGCATTAGTGATCCTCCTGCCTCAGCCTTTGGAGATGCTGGGGTTACAGGCATGCACCCAGCTATTATGATGTCTTCTAATACAAAAACAAACAAACAAAAAAACTCAGTATACACTTCAATAAGTTATAATATTACATTTGAATAAATTGTGAACTTGATATCTTTTAAAAAAAACATTAAAACTTTAAACCACAGCATGATCACATTTCCATCTTTTCCTAGGGTTACAATTAAATGCTTTTAATTTAGAGAATGAGAGCCTAGCTCAGTGACAGAACACTTGCCTAACATGCACAAGGCCCCAACTTCAATCCTCTGTATGGAAGGGGGAAAAAAAACCACCACTTTAATTTAGGAAAAATACACATAGGGGAAACATGAAGAAGGAAATATTTTCAAATTGTGCCCTAACTGTAATTTTCACATGGGCAAATATTACTTTTGTAATAAACTAATATATAAAAATCGATTAACAAGAATTACCTCAGCAAGAAGTTAAAACTAGGGGCTGGGGATAAAGCTCAGTTGGTAGAATGCTTGCCTAGCATGCACAGGCCCTGGGTCCAATCCCTGGCACCACCAAAACCAAACAAACAAAAAAGAAGTTAAAACTAAAGTTGCATAATCATTACAAAAGAAACTAAACAATTTGAATACTCCTAATTTCCTCTTACCAGTCATAGATTTAACAGAAAACTATTATTTGCAATATCGACATCCAAGTATGTTAAATATTCCTTATTCAATTTTCTGACAGAAAAACATCCTTAGAAGTTTCAGCTAAGAACAGTATGTAATACATTAAAATAAAATCACTGGGAAAAGATCTCATCTTGGTTTACCACAAATTTGTCTCAAAAAGGAGAGACTTTAAGTGCCCAGTAGATGACAGATTTCTGCTACAGCCAAGTGTTTACTTTGATACCGTAGTGGTGGAAAACTACTTAGTCACAATTCATGTACAGAATTTTGTGTAGTGTAAAAGCAACAGAAATGTTTACAACATTGAAAATATTTACAACATATTGAACTTAAGTGTAATCCATGAGAAGCTAAATCATACTTCATACTATTGCTTGGGTACATAAACATCAACTTCCAAACATCCTTCTATAAAGTGAATGGTGGCAATGGTTAACAAAAATTTGACAACTATTTAAAAAATTTTTGTGGTACTGGGAATCAAACTCAGGGGAGCTCTACTACAGCCAGTCCTTTAAAATATAAACATAAATATAAATATATATATATTAAATTTTGAAATAGTATCTTGCTAAGTATCTTCCTGCCTAAATCTCCCCAGTCCCTGGGATTACAGGTGAGTGCCACTGCACCCATCTAAATTTTGACATCTAAACACTCTTTATTACTCTAATACTAAGGAAACATTCTAAGTATTGTTTTTTAAAAGTCAAATAATTAATATATTAAGTACCAACCAGTCTTATTTCTGTCATTCACTTCTGTATGCCTAGTATAGATTGAGGCTTACAGCGACACTTGGGGTTGGGGGGGGGGATGAATACTTTCTTTGCAGATACAATTTTTTTCCCCTAATGATTTCAGCCCTCAAGGGGATTACAAATGGAATTGAGAGAAAAGACAAACTCTTGAATAGCTGAAAAACAGGACAATTAAAACTGTCACCTGGCAAGATATGTTTATTTGCAAAGTTAGTGGCAGAAAGAGCTGTAAATTCTGACCATAATGAGATTAGTATGGACTGCAGTCCTTCCGGTCACCCTTCCAGAATATGAAAGTGAGCTGGGCACCGCGGAGGCTGCATGCCTGTAATCCTAGAGACCAGGAAGGCTGAGGCAGGAGGAACTCCAGTGCAAAGCCAGTCTCAGCAACTTAGAGGAGGACCCGGTCTTAAAATAAAAAA